CCCCAAAACCCCAAAACCCCAAAACCCCAAAACCCCAAAATAATTTGCCAAAATTGAATGTAAATCATGCACTAGAATCGCTCGCCTTACTTGTTCCCTGTATGGTAAAGTCTCTTTAAACTAATAATCTTGAGCGATGAGAACCTCTTTGATTTTCTGGATGGTATCTACTAGTCAGATGGGACCCTTACCGATACTTTGATCAACCTCATCAAGGATGGTCTTGGCTCGGTCAAACCAGAAGTGACACTTAGAAGAGCTCTTGGGCATTTCTGTCTTGAGTCCTCCTGAGTTGGCCTTAAGGTCCTGCCTCATCTTCTCTCGAGGATTTATCATCTTGCTAGCGCTAGGCGAGACTTCGAGGATAGGCTCTAGTTTGCCTCTCTTGGAGGTTCCTCCAAAGGACTAAACAGTGAGCAAGGCTTGCTTACTGACTCTTGTGTGGGCTGATCGTACCACTTTTTGCCATAACGAGTATCAGGCCGGATAAAGTTGAGGAAGTCGAAAGTGTCTACTGAACTTTGGTTATTTTCCATCATTGTGTCTAAGAAAAAGCCTGTAGGTTAGCACTAGGGTTACCCTTATTTGTACTTCTCCAGAATGGTTAGAGATTCCTCTATATCCTCTTCTATGTCAGAGTACTTCAGCATTTTGAGAGTAACGGCATCTAGAGGCAGCTTAGCCCTTATTTTCTCCATAAGTTCCTTGAACAAGTGGTCTAGGAAGGAGATTATCCGGGCTTCTTTGTAGAAATTCGAGATTTCGTAGATGGACTTTAACGAGTTCATCAATGGGCTGATGGAGCACTGGATTGTGGAGAGGTCCTCATTCTCCTCAATGGTGTATATAGGTCTATGATATCATTGTAAACATACTTTGAGATCAATTTCATGTACTTGTCATTCCATTTCGCTTCCTTGTACCCTTTCATTAGTCGATTTCGCTGCTTTGTGAATTGAGTAAATGTAGTCACAAGTCTTTGGTCATCTTTGGTAATCTCAACTCGGTTCATTTCAGGTGAGAGGTTCTCCTTCATGACTAAAGTGAGGCAGGTTGCTTACTCTCAGCGGCTCTCTGGATCTTGTTAGAAAGCTCCTCAGCGATGCTAATGAGCTTCTTGTCAGGATCTGTGTTTAGCTTGAGCTTCATTGGCTCGATTTCTTGAGCAATTGTCTTCCAATATTCTAATATAGACTGTAAAGTTACCGATTTCTCCGATCATTCTGGGTTTAGGGTTTATTTTTGCTAATTTGTTCATGAACATGTTCAGTTCAACTGATATAGCTGAAATCTTGCTTGAGAGTTCCAGGATAGTCATTCAATCATCTAAAGGATAATGTTAGGAATGCAATTATCCTGATTTGCATGGAGAAGTTTAGCTAGAAATAACCTAAAGAGGGAGACAACAAGGAAGCCTGGACTTTTAGGGTATTACCTTCCTCTTGAGGCTCAGCTATTTTCTCCATTTTTAAAATTATTTAAATTGGCAATGGTCAAAATATGAGAAGGGGTTTTGGGGTTTTGGGGTTTTGGGGTTTTGGGG